CCCACCGAGCTCGTCAAGGAGAGGGTCGAGGTGTGGAAGCGGGAGGAGTTCTTCGGGGAGGAGGGCGTCTGGCGGGCGAATCGGGATGGGGCGCAGGGCGTGTATGAGACGGGGCCTCAGGGGACGAAGGAGGAAGAGAGTACGTCGGGACAGGGTCAAGAGCAGAAGGGTGATGCAGTGGCGGAGACGGCGGGACGAGAAGAGATAGAGACGGCGGGAGGAGATTCGAAGGTGGAGAGGTAAACTTCATAGTTCTCACGATATCCTAATGTCGACCATGTCATGACTGCGTGCCATTGGGCCATGTCGATGCATTCAAAAGAGCATTATATTCTTCACCATTTGCTGCACCTACCTCTCGACCAGCTTCAGGCTCGCCCGCAGATCCTCTGGAAGCTCCTCCGCCTTCACCAAGCCCAGTAGCACGCAATCGCCCCAGAAGAAGAGGGCCCGCTCTCGTGCATACCCCCAGTAGTCAAACTCGTCCTCGCCGTCGTCCTTCTTCTCCCCGTCCTGTCCCTGCTCCCCGTCTCCGGCGCTGGGTGCCGACGCCTCGCCACCCTCGTCAGCGACATCATCACCCTCTAGACAGGCAGGCACCTTGGCCTGTACGATACCCCAGGCGATCCACTGCGCGCTGTTGGCCGTCCGCCACAGCCTCGACTCCTCCATGAGCTCCGTCACCGTCTTCTCCGTCTGCTCCTCGCGCAGTCGCTCGTCCTCCTTCCACTGACCCGCAGGCACACGCGCGTCGAGCATAAAGTCGACGATAGAGCTCGACGAGCTCGTGGGGTGCAGCACGGGCGTGCCGCCGCTGGCATGGCCGCCGCCGCCACCGGGCGTGTCGAGGGGCGTCAGGCGCGGCGTCGAGCTGGCATGCGGGAATTTGGGCCGGTGCTCGACATAGGACCGGATGAAGCGTCGCTGCTCCTCGACGGTCGGGTACCGCTCGATCGAGCAGCCGTGCGGCTTGGCCTCGTCGTGGTAGTTGTAGGCCCACTCGGTGAAGTGGTTGGCGAACTCCTGGCCGGGGACGTTGGCGCCAGCATACTCAAAGTCGATGACGATGAGCTGCTTATGCTCGTTGGCCGGCTTGAGGAGGGGCGACTTTTTGTCGTCGGGCCGAACACGCAGAATGTTGCCGTATTGGGTCTGTGCCTGTTAGCGATGCTTATTCAAAGGCGCACAACAAAAAGGCGAGTAGAGACGGGAAGATATACATCATTGTGAGCAAACGTCAGACGGGCGTTGATGTCTTCCTCGCTCCGGTAGAAGCTCGTCAGGAAAGCGCGGTACTTCTCAACAGTGGCACGGAACTGAGACCACTCCACGCCGCACACGAAGCCCTGACCTTGGTAGGTGCTTGTTGGCTTGACCGGCTCCCCGGCTTGCCTGGCGCGCGTCTCGTCGTCGACGGCCATGACTCGCTTCTCCACGTTGTCCAGCCACTTGTCCCAATTGCCCCAGACAGAGGGCCCGGCCTTGCGCTCAGCGTCGAGGAGCTCGATGCCGTCGTGCAATTCGCGCATGCGCTTGGCAATCTGCTTGGACGTCTCCGCGTCTCGCAGGTCCTTGGGTGTCAGAGTCACCGAGTTGAAGTACTCCTCGAAGCGGCCGTTGGTAAACGTGCCCAGGAGGCGAGGCCCAATGCGCTTCCTCGCTAGACGACCGAGAACGCTGAGCTCATTGTCACGGTCGATGAGATGCTCAACCTGGGGGCCGTAGATGCGCAGGAGAACCTTGCTCGGCTGCTTCTTGCCGGGGACGGGTTCCAGGTCCTCGGGGGGTGTGACGACGTAGACGGCGTTGGTCAGCGCGCCGCTCAGCCTCTGGACGGAGATCTTGTCGCCTGCCTCGAGGGGGATACGACGCCAGCCCTTGATACGTAGCGTGTGCGCCAGGCGGATAATCTCGTTTCGGAAGGTGGACCATGCCTCGTGCTCCTTGGCCTCTGCCTTGCCAGACACGAGATTGTCGGAGCTCTTGCCGGCGTTGTAGCTCATGGTCTTGCTGTTGTCGAGAACGGCATCGCAAGATGGCACGACGACGTCGCCGTCGGCATAATCCGTGTCGGAGCTGGCGGTACGATGCAGCATGCTCCGCGAGCCGGACTTTTTGTGTCCCCTCACGGAAGGACGCTGAGGCAGCTTGGGGCCGAGATGCGGAATGGAGTCGAGGCCTAGAGCGGCCATGTTCTCCTCGAGGATGCGCTGCAATTTGTCGAAACTCATGTCGCTGGACTGAGAATCAATCGAGTCGGTGCGATGGCGGAAGGGAAAGCCATCCTGGCCCTTTTCGTCGGGCACGGCAGTCGTCGTGTCGGCAGCTGGTGCTTGAGCCGGGGCCTGGGCCTGGACCTGGGTCTCTTGCTGCTGCTGAGGGCGCTTTCTCCTCGACGATGAAGCTTGACTTCCTGATTTGCGTTGTTCTCGTTTACGGCGTTCATGTTCGAGCCAGTCAGACACCTGCGAAAGAAGCTTCTGACTGACGTAGTGCTGCTTGCGTCGCTCGTGGCCATGGCCGTGGCCATGACTGTGATGCTGCTGCTGCTGCTGCTGCTGCTGCTCAGACGACTCTTCGGGGGTCTCTACGGCTTCTTGGCCGCCCAGACTCGACAGAGAGGTGCGCGAGGAGCTCATGGGCAGGTTGCGGCCACTGAGTCGCTTGGCAATGCCGGCAGAGAACTGCCTTTTCAGGGGCGAGTCGACGGGTAGAGTAGACTCGGACTCCTGCTCAGCCTGGGGCACCGCCTCGGGATCAACAATTTGGACCACTACAGTGTGTCAGCTGACGCTCACGATCGAAATGGCAAAAGCGCTGAGACGGTGACCATTGACTGCGTTGTCGTCGTTGTCGCATTTTGTTGTCGATCGGTCGGTCGGTCGGTCGCATCATGCGCCGACGTCTTGGCAAGAGGATCCAGGGGGGCATGTCAAAGCAATGTCGTCATGTTGCATGTCAACAGCAGAATGCACTCGGCGCATCTTGTTGAGCGAACAAACGACGGCAGATACAGCATGGACAGATGTCAAGGCAAGACGAGGCGCGACAGGTCTTCTTCTCATGAATTTCGTTCTCCAGGATGAGATGAGATTTGGTGCCTCTTGTTGCCTGCCCCAGGAATGCATGGGCCAGATCTTCATCAAAAGGCGAGAGGGTCTGGCTGACAATGATGATGGTGAACTCACTTTTGGGGGTACCGCACTGGGGCGTCAACTTGTGTTGTCTTCGTCGTTCTTGAGGGCAGACCGGAGGGGCTGGCTGCTGGCGCTCGCAGCGGCGTTGGGGAGGGGTGAATCAGACATGGTGATCACGCCGAGCGTCGCGCGCGAAGTTAATGAGAGAGGAGAGAAGGAGACAGCCCGGAGGTGGGTTGGTAGGACAGGAAGTGGAATGCCCGACTCGGCGAAGTCAAGCTGCTGCTGCGCGCTTGGGCTCCGTCCTCAGAGGGCCTCTCGAATCGTTGTAGGGTGGTTGGGAGGCGATGGTCTCACAACAGGTGGATGCTGCCAGTGCAAAGCAATAATTTCAGCCGGCGTGCATCGGAAAAAGGAGGGGGGAGGGAGGGAGAGAGATGGAGGGAGTGGTGGAGGGGGAAAAGCGGCGTCTCGTGTCTCGTGAGAAGTGGTTCGTGTTCTTTGAGGAGGAGTCGCTGTTTGGGAAATTGTCGTGTGGAAACTTGAACTTGACGTTCCCCCCGCCAATCTTGGCATCGCACCGCCTCGGCTGAGCCGCCTAGCCACATCTGTACTGGCCGGGGCACAGGCAGCAAGGTGCCTCAACCGCTCACCGCTCAGTGCAAGCACCACCTACCTAGGTGCCTAGGTAGACGCCTTAGGTTAGTAGGTGCCTACCTGGTAGGGCAGGCCTAAGTACTAACTCACTACCTTACCTAGGGCCCTTATCGTCCCGCACCTTAGGGACCTAGGTGGCCCGTGATAGCAAACCGTCCTGTGTGGCTGACCACCTCGGTTACCTACCTTACCTTAGGTAGGTATCTTACCACCCTACGTACCTACCCTGGGGTGGTTCAGTCAGGCATCTACCTAGGGAGCTCAGTAGGTACTGTAGCTACCTGAACCCACCACGCAAGGCAACTACCCCACAAGAACCCCTGGCTTGCCTCCCCCCCCCCTGTCAGGTGCATCACTGTCCAACTGCAACTGCCAGGGATCAGGCCCTAGACGCACCTGGGACGACCCCTCAGAGATGCAGGCCACGAGCTTCCCCAAAGCGTGCCGATTCGTATGTGTTGAACTAGATGCGTCTGGCAGAAAGCTCATCTCAGATTAGGGCTCTGTGTCTCCATGTTCGCTGAACACAACTACTGACAGGTCCGTCCAGACTCGTTCCGATGCATTTCCTGGCATTGTAGCACATACGCCAATCGAGTGGCGTTGCCTTCCACATCACATGCGAGCGAAGGGACAGACTGGCGCGATCGTCAATACCATTTGCCACTTGGACAACGTGCTCGTGGCGCTCGGGAGGCTGCAGCTGGCTTCGCTAACGGAGGAGTGGTGGTTTGGCTTGTTACCATATGATGCCATCCTACTATGCTGGTCTCGCCCTTGGGACCGACCAACCTCAGCTCCGCCAGGCAACTCGACTGTGCTATTGTGGCACGTACAACTCAAGCCGCTGCCAACCGATGTACATATATGTCAGACATGGACTAGTGAAGGCGTCTCGTCCTACTCTACCGTGTTTTGGCACTACACAACGACCTGCTGTGGAGGCACTCTTGCCATTGACCCGAACTACCTACCGACCATGAGGTGCTGTGGCCTGGACGAGCAGATATCCCATGCTGCCGCCCATGACTTACTGCTCCCTCGCCAGCGCCCACGCCACCGCCGCCTGGACATCGTCCACAATGGCCGTCGGCGGGTACGCGCTCTCGCCACGGTCCGCCTGCCAGACGCCGGTCCGCACGAGCACCGACGCCCAGTTCGTGCCCTGCTTGCTGCGGTACTCGTTGGCGCCGCGAATGTCGCTCTCGGGGTTGTCGCCGAACATGTACACCGGCGGAGCGGCGTCGAGCTTCGGCATCGGGCCCCCTGCCGCGCAAGAGCGGGGGGGGGCTGTTTGAGCCCCCCCCTCGGGGAAGCGGAAAATCTCGGGGCAAGGGCTTCCAAAAGCCCTTCCCCGCAAGGGGCGTGCCGCCGGGGACCTTGGCCCCACGGCGGCGATGGCCTCCTGGAAGGGCGCCCTGGGCGAGGCGCGGCTGGTGGTAGCCCCGTCGACCACAGCAGGTCCGAGTTGGACAGGATGAGCGGCGGCTGGCCGTCCTGCTGCCAGCCGGCGTTGGGCAGCGACGCGTCGCCGTTGCGGTCCGAGTAGGTGCCGAGGATGCCGCGGCGCGACAGCAGCAGGTCGAGGATGAGCTGCACGTCGAGCGCCCAGTCGCGCGGGTCGTTGAAGACGAACATGGCGTCGATCGTCAGCGCGTCGGCGTCGGCGACGCCCGGCCCGTGCAGCGGCCTGGGCAGCGGCCGCGCCGTCGTACGGTACACCTCCTCCATGAGCGGCTCAAAGGGCCAGATCTCCGGGTGCGCCGTCAGAATGTCGG